CTATTTTGCTTCACTCTAACGATAAACTAAGTGTGTTCTGGTTAAATTCAGCTTTGAATAATTGCATGCTGCTGGCCTGATCTCCCCCACTGCTGTGATTGGTTATGGTGTCCTTTTTTTTTTCTCTGTCTTCACTCTGGAGTGGCATTGCTTTGTACTAGAAACAATTCCATTGCCCCATCCCTGAGAGGTTGATTTCTGTGCTGAGTGGGTTGTTCTGGGCCTGTCTCTCACATACTTTAGATTTGTGGACATTCATTTATAAAGTTCTGTGTTATCCTCAGATTAAACACACACACACACACACACACACACACACACACACAGAATGCCATCACAGAATGTCATCACTCATTAGATTTGCAGGCATTTAGAACTTAGGAGAGTTTCAAGGCTTTAAGGGGAAAAAAAATGAATTACATTTGTGACTAGGGCCAAATCTGTAGCCTTAGAGGTGAAAGGCCGGGCTTAACTATGGAACCAAATATACTCTAGGCCAGTAATTCTCAAATTCTTTGGGCTTGGAATCCCTTTATATTATTGAAATTGTGATTTTATCCTTTTATATTATTAAGCTTGTGTTTATGGGGATTTTAGCTATTGATACTTAGAAATTCAAACTGAGAATTTTTAAAAGTATTAAAAAACAATAAATCCATATGTTAAATGATATATAATATTTTATGAAAAATGACTACATTTTCCAAACCAAAACAATATTGGTGACTAAAGTGGCATGTTTTACATTTTTGCAAATCTAATATTTATCTGAATAAAAGAGAACTGGATTCTTATATCTGCTTCTGCATTCAATCTGTTGACATATATTGTTTTGGTTGAGGTATAGGAATAAAGTTCAGCCTCACATGGATAAATAGTTGGAAAAGAAGTATTTCAAGAACTTTTTTCAGATACTTGTAGATCTTCTTTGATACTATACCAAAACTTGACAAGTGATTCCTAAAGGTTAGGTGTAGTAAGAAATCTGAAACCATATCAATGAGCTTTTCCTACTCTGTTACATTAAAATCCAGTGGTCATCTTGCACTTTGAATGAATTTTTTTTACACGTGTACGATTTTGTAACATTGTATTTGGTCATTTGGGAAACATTGGTTCATTGAATTATGCAAATAGTCGAAGTGTTGACACATTTCATTGTACAGTACCATAAAATAACATTCGTTAATATCAACATCAGTGTCATTGGAAAGGTTTTACATATTGGAAAGCTGCTAAGCTCACAGTGGCAGATACAAGTTTTCCAAAGTTCTGCTTTTGACTTGAAAGCTAGATTTCTGTCATTGGCAACAAACACAACAAATACCGTCAGCTGCTTTCCTTGAAATGACAGTCTGATTTCATTCACGACTTGAGAAAATGCCTGCCAAAAATCCAAGTCCAAGTAATTCTTTCAACTAAAAATAGCGTTTGAGCAAAAACAGGGAAAAAAGATGTCTAGTTCACCTGGCAACTCAGTCCCACGAGTGCTTTCCCTCAACGAGCATCACACCTCCATAGGCTGCAAAGGGTTTTATGTGTCCCTTCTCTCTCATAAAACAGAAAACTTAAAAGAAAAGATGTGCATTCAAGGGTCCAGGTTTAATCAAATTAATCATTTTACTGCTTCATCTTGAGTGAAACTGTTTTGTTTTTTTTTAACTGTATGTGATGCTCCTTTCATTCATACAAAAGCAGCTTTACCCACCATTGCCCTTAGATCATCGGTGCAAATGTCAACGAAGTGAAAAAGGGAAGTAAAGTGTCAGCATTCTTCAAAATCGTTCTGGTCTTGTGGACTCCACCCACAAGGATCTCAGGGTCCCCCCAAAGTCCCAGATTACACTTTGACAACCACAGTGGTGGACAAGCATATGGCCACCATTCCCTTTACCTCGGCACCAGCTGCCCAGACGAAGGGAGGCTTACTGAAGACAGAGACCCCCCCCCCTTTAAACCTACTGGGGCAACGAGGGCTTTGATTTAGTATGGGGTTTTGCTGGACAAGCATATGTGAACTAGACTTTCTGTCCAGTTGGCTTGAAGGCTTCCCAGTCTTTTCTTTCTTTTATATGTGACTTGAAACTTTTAATGTCACATTTATAGTTGGCTTGACTGCCCCAAACAAAGTGTTGTAAACTTTCCCCACCAATTGGCCGTAGCTACAATTGGTGTTTTCACTTTAGAGCTTGAAGAATAGGCATCTTGTGTTCTGGTCCTGATTCGTGAATACAGCAACCGTTCCTCAAGCTCACTTTCCATGTGTGAGAAAAACCTCTTTTGACATTTCTCCCATTTTCAACTATTTCTCAAGACAAGCTGTTAGTCTCTAAGGACACTTGCTGTCTGCCACAAAGTATCCAATTCAAACATTGCATCGTTGTCTCCTTTGTTGAGGTCTGCATTTTGTCTGTCAGGTTTTTTTTTCTTCTTTTCCTTCTGGAGCTGGAAACCAGGCAGTGAGAGGATGACAGGTTCTAAAAGGTCATATTTGAATAAAGAATTGTCTGTGTGCACTTTTCTTCAGAGTTGTGTGTTTTGTGTGTTTTAGTAAAGGGAGCGCTCCTGCTGGCCAGACCTGTCTGAAAGTTCCATTTTCTTTACCACTCAGTTTCTCGGCTTTTACATATGAATCCCCTGAATCGATAATAAATTGTGGCAGAAAAAAATAAACGTAGGTCTCTTCTGCACCTTTAACTGTCCAGAGAGAAAAGTTACTTTATAGGTAAAACGTGCATCTTCTCTGCTGTCCCTTTTCTTTATTAGGAAATGATTTTCAATGTAGTTTATACAAGGTACCATTAAGGCTAATTTTCTTTTTCCTAAAGGAAGAAGTAAAGTAAATACGAGAAAGAAAAGAATAACCCAGAACATTGATTGGGTTCCAGGGAATGTTATCAGCATCTTAATAGTCAAGAATTTTCAGTTGCGTGTGTGACTGATTATTTAAACCAAGCGCTGCTGTTCGCTCCATACAATGAGTCTGACTGTATTTTCTGGGTCACCATTGTCAGCAGAGGTTAGTTTAAACCATAGCGGATGCAGGAAACCCTGCTGACTCTCTCTTCACACAACGTCACCTGCTTTGAGAGGTGGGCAAAGTTTTGCTGCTTCAAGGACCAACCCCCCCTAAGAAATTTCTGTATTTAACTCTTAGGTTAATGCACACTCTGTGGGAGAAGGCCATTGTTTCACTCGTTTCTTTTGCTTTCCCATCCTTTCATGCTTGTATCAGTTTTCTCATGATTTAAAACAAATGCCCAGAAACCCAACAGTCAAGGCAGAACAATTGCGGGCTTTCAGCGTTCAGAAGGCAACCGCGATCACTGAAATAACGCCGAGTTATTACCAAACAAAAAACAGAACCACACGCCAAACCATACATATTGACTTTCTCAAGCCACAGGATCAGTCGGAGGTGGCTTGCTTTTTGCTCTGCAGATCACGTGGTCAGGACTGCCTCGCTGCAGATGCTGGACTTTTGTTTTAAAATCTAGTTCTTACTGAGTCCTCCTCTCTCTCTCTCTCCCCCTCCCTTCTTCCCTCCCAAAGAATAATTACAGGCTGCAAAGTAAAAAGCATTAGAACTGTTTACAAAACAGCTCAAAAAGTTTAAAATAATAGGGGCGTGTGTGTTTGTGTAAAACACAATAATGTGTATGGCAGGGGGAAACGGTACACCGTCTTTCTTCATTCTTCTTTCGCTGCTCCACGTCACCCTCCAGAATTTAAGGCGCGGAAGGGAGCGATGGAGTCCCTTTCCTTCTGCTTTGCAGTCCTCACACTTCATCTGTGATGCTTACTTATCTGATACCTGTTTATTGTTGAGCATCAAAATACAGACCCTCAGGTGTGTGGGGACAGAGTGGCTGCTGGAGCGGGCTGCTATCTCATTAATTTTAGGGCAGTCGAAATTCCCATACAGATGCTCCCTCATGACATTCAAGAGAAAGATGGTGTTTTTTTGGTTTTTTTAATGAGCCCTTTGCTATCTTTCGGAAGTCCAAGAGACCAGCTTTCAGCAGGTTAGCGTTCTAAAGTGAAAGGGGCATTTTTCCAACCCTTTCCAAAGTCTCCTCCTGTGCAGATTTGCAAAGATTTCACAGTGTTCCCCTCCAGATTTGATTTGATTTGGGTTTTTTTAAGGTGGAAGGGTCGCCTCTAACCTCCAGCCTCAGAGCGCATCAGTCATGTTGCTTTGCAGGTTGAGATCTGCTGCGGCAAAGCCAAACCTCAGCTAGCGGCGCTGCACCGGCTCTGAACAGTAGTGAAGCTGGTGCTGACAGGCGGAGGAGGGCTGTGTCCCCTTAGGCGCCGATGCGCTGGGGACGAGGGCTGGGCTGAGGGACCAGCCCAGCCGGGAGGAAGCATCCCTTCCCCCGGTGATTAATGAAGCACAGTTAGGAGCTTTTTGGAGGCTGGGAAAGGTTGTCCTCCCAGCCCCTTATTATGAAGTCTCTGTCAGCAAAAAGAACTCTCCTGGGCAGTGAGTGACTTCATGCAGATGACAAATGACAGCTTTGCGTTTCATTCTGCTTGATAAGTACTCAATATCGTACGCAGGTGAGTTAACGCTCCCCAGATGCAAACACTCCAGTGCACTGTGGTTTCACAGGCACTGCTGGTTCTTCCTTATCAGTCATTTGTTTTCTTGGGGATGTTTAAAGTACTGTTAAAGTGTGAGCAGGGATGATACCCAGATCACCGTATTTATGATTATGAAATGAAGATATTATTCATGTCATTTGTTAGCAGTTCTGAATGTGGTTTCCTTCTGTCTCTCCCTTTTGGAGTACAGATTTTTAAAATTATATCAATATATTTGTATAGATATGATTTATATATTACATTTCTATTTATTATACTTATATATAAATATAATATATAAATCATATCTATACATATATATTTATGCTGTTTCAAGAGACTCTTTCAGACCAAAACTCTGTGTCAAAATCCTTGACTGACGTTTCCTTTTGTATTTTTTCTCCCCCTTCCAGGACCCCATCTGCAGACGTCCTGAATACCTCTGAGTATAGCAGTTGATTATTCAACCAGGATACCTAATTCAAGGTATTAGCTCTTGTCAGAAAGCTTTTACATCTGAGCTCTGTGTTGGAAATTCTATTTTGGCAATGAATTTTGAAATCGGAAAAGTTGGAATGAGAATAAAGGACAAAAGTGAATTTGCAAAATAATCAAGCGCTTAGAAAAACGACCTGACGCCTGGTAGGGTTTGCCGCTTCTGACTCATGGGCAGCCCTTTCTCTGCCAGTTTTTGTGCCAGTTCTCCCTGAGTTGTAGTCCTTTTTCTGCAACTGTGTCTGGGGTTTGGATTTCATTTTCGTCTCTCGCTCTCCCTTTCTCTCTGACTGCCCAGAGCTGCAGGAACCAGGAGACAGACGTTTTGTCAGTTTTGCGACATTGGACCAAGCACAATGAAGTATTCTTGCTGTGCTCTGGTTTTGGCTGTGCTGGGCACACAGCTACTGGGGAGCCTCGGTTCAACCATCAGATCGCCGAGGTTCAGAGGTCGGATACAGCAGGAGCGAAAAAACATCCGACCCAACATCATTCTCGTGCTCACTGATGATCAAGACGTGGAGTTGGGTGAGACACTGGTTTGTCGCTTGTTGGTCTCTTTCGCTCAAATGATTTGCTGGCTTGCATTATCAGTAACAGTCAGTTAACTTTTGGGGGTTTGACACATAATGGTAGTACCTGAACCAACACCCTGGGTTATAAAATGTACTCATATTAATGATAAAGCATTTGGTTTGTGTTTCAACTTGACTCTTCTGATCTTAAGGTTTTGAAGCTGGGGGTGGGCTGGGAGGATGGGAAGATGGCAGGCGAGAGGAAGCACGAAACTGTAGAAGTCAAGTGTTGGATCGTGCGCCTTGGAAAACTCTTTTTTTTTTTTGCGGTATGCGGGCCTCTCACTGTTGTGGCCTCTCCCGTTGGGGAGTACAGGCTCCAGACGCGCAAGCTCAGCTGCCATGGCTCACGGGCCCAGCTGCTCTGCAGCATGTGGGATCTTCCCAGACCAGGGCACAGAACCCCTGTCCCCTGCATCTGCAGGCGGACTCTCAACCACTGCGCCACCAGGGAAGCCCTGGAAAACTCTTTTCAAGATATTTGGGCAAATTTGTTTCAAAGAGTATGAGATTATGACTGTAATTCTCTGCTCTGCATATGAACGTAGGTGGATACAAAAAGAACTTGTCGGGGCTTCCCTGGTGGCGCAGTGGTTGAGAGTCCGCCTGCCGAGGCAGGGAACACGGGTTCGTGCCCCGGTCCGGGAAGATCCCACATGCCGCGGAGCGGCTGGGCCCATGAGCCATGGCCGCTGAGCCTGCACGACGGAAGCCTTAAAAAAAAAAAAAAAAAAAAAAAAAAACTTGTCGATGGTCATTATTATTAAGGTGATTCCTTTATTCACAGCTTGTGATTGTTAGGGAATTGAAAGTTACAGTATTCTGCACATCCTCCCGGTAGTAATTCACTGCTACCACCCTAGACAGGATGCTTTTCTGAAGAACTCGCTCACCTGGGTTAATTCTAGAGCACTTAGAAAGCCTGCCAACATCTGGTGTTTCAGCTGAGCTTCTGTATCACCTGATTTGGTTTCTCACCTTCTCACTTTCTTTAATGGCCCGGCCCTATGGTCTTGCCCATAAGCTTAGGGTCAAGTTCTTCTAGGGTACCTAGGACAAATGAAAAGCTTGCCCTTACAGGTTGTCACCATCACTCATTTCCATTCCTGGACGCAATTCCTTGCTCTCAAGAAATCGCTCAGCTAGGCTTATCCATCACACTGAACTTGACCGTCGCTAGTAGCTTTTAGACTTCCTGCTAGCAGAGCACCCTGGGCTTCTTTCCAGAGCTCCTCTGGCTAGGGTCTTTGAGGATAAACCCCTCCAGGCTGGAATTTGATCCACAGGGATAGGGACTTTGATTTCCAATTGGAAACCAAACCCTAGAATCCCAAAAATTCAACTCTTTGGGTTCAGCTGGAAACAAAGGCACTAAAAGCCAGCAGAGGTAATGATTATTGGAGGTGACTTGCAGAGTCTGTTTTCTCTCACTTAACTGCTTATTTTTAAATTTTTATTATTTGGTTACGCCGGGTCTTAGTTGCAGCTGGTGGGCTCCTTAGTTGTGGCACGTGAACTCTTAGTTGCGGCATGCATGTGGGATCTAGTTCCCTGAGCAGGGATTGAACCCTGGCCCCCTGTACTGGGAGCGCAGAGTCTCAACCACTGCGCCACCAGGGAAGTCCCTCTCACTTAATTGCTTAAGCAAGAATTTTCAGGCATCATGCCAAAATGAAAAGTCTTGCAGGTATGACTTTAGTACGTATGTGGTTAGTGGTTTAAGTTTTCATTCACCTACAGGGCAAGTAAAGTGAAGACCTTTGAATTCACTTCCCTTAACATCTCTCATATCCATCCTTTTCAATGAAGCCATTCTCTTCTCTCCCAGTTTTTCCCTAACTGGTTGGTCACGTGACCTGTGCCCTCTAGTCTTGGCCCCCCCTACCTATTCTTCATTTCCTGCAAGTATCTGATCAGGTCTCTGCTGCTTAAAACCCTCCACCGGGTTCCTTTACCAAGACGGTGAAGCCCCTCTCCTCTGCAGGCTGATGAGCGCCGGGCATCTGTCCCTACCTATTTCTGTAAGGCTATTTCCCTTTCCCTCACTTTTGCTCTGTGCTCCATGGAAACAACTTACACTTCCCTGAAGGTGTCTGGTGGTTTCATCTCCCTCACCTATATTTCATGCCTTTGTACATCTCATCCCCTCTGCCCTTGCCCCATTTTTCCACCTGGCGAAGCCCTACCTATTCTTCGTGACCCAGTCCAGATGCCTTCCCCTCGGGGGGTCTTCTTTACCAAAACGATCCTGCTGTCCAGCAGGGTGGAGGAAACTTTCCTTTGCACCACCTTGGACCTGCCTCCAGCGTATGACCCTAAATCCACCATGTACTTCCCTACCTGTCTCTTCCACTTAACTGAGAGCAACTAGAGGGCAGGGTAGTGTTCTATTTATGTTGTAGTCCTGATGCTGGGACTGTGCTGGGAATCTAGTAGGTGCTCAGTAAACTGGAAATGGACCCACAGGGGCCTGAAAAGGCTAACACAATTCCCAGAAATGAATGCAAGTATCCGTCATGATCTACCTCTTCAATATACAACCCTTGTCTTTAAAATAAATTAAGGAATTGTTTGATCAGTGTATTTTTAAGAGTTCAAAATTTCATCCTTATCCTATAGTTAATGAATTCATTCAGTAGATATTTATTAAGCAGTTATTAAACACTGGCTTCTAGTGGAAGCACATGGATATAATGGTGAAGAGTCGTCAGCCAGGTTCAATCAACCCAGCTCTTTCCTACATGTTTGCCTTGCCTTTACTTCCTTCCTTGATTTCCTACCCAGATACCAGGCTAAGCATTCACTCATTTAATCATCACAGTCGCTCTATGAAGTGGTTACTATTACTCTCTTCAGTTTATACTAAAGATAAATGAGGCTTAGAGAAGTCGCATAGGCTGTGATGAGCTAGGAAATGGTAAACTCAGGACCTGTATTAGGGCTGGGTCTCCACAGCTACACATTTGACCATGATTCCTTCCCTCAATCCGTCCTTCAACAAATATTTATTGAGCCCTTCCTAAAACAACCTGTAAGTACATGGTCACGCCCTAGGTTCCGAGATGACAGCTAAGATGGGTCTTGTTATCCTACTGGCAGAACAAGTTGATGATGAACCGCTGTGAACCATGGATAAAAATTTAGAGAAGACTTCTTTTCTCAGCAGAAAAATTATGTTCTTGGTAGTGGGTCCAGTTTGATGGAGACTTTTGCCTGGCCGATTGTAACACTCTCATAATCTTTCTTGACACTTAACTGCTCTAGACTTTAGTTGGCTTTTGTGTTTTTTTAATCGTCTTAACCAATTTTTTTTTTTTTTTTGGCTGCGTTCCATCTTCATTGCTGCGCGGGCTTTCTGTAGTTGTGGCGAGTGGGGGCTAGTCTTCGTTACAGTGGGCGGGCTTCTCATTGCAGTGGCTTCTCTTGTGGCGGAGCACGGGCTCTAGGCGCACGGGCTTCAGTAGTTGCAACACGCGGGCTCAGTAGTTGTGGCGCATGGGCTTAGTTGCTCCGTGGCATGTGGGGTCTTCCCGGACCAGGGATCGAACTCGTTTCCTCTGCATTGGCAGGCAGACTCTTAACCACTGCGCCACCAGGGAAGTCCTCCTCTTAACCATTTTCAAGTGTACAATTCAATAGTGTTAAGTACATTCACATTGTTGTGCAACCAATCTCCAAAACTCTTTTCATTCTATAAAATTAAAACTCTATACCTATTAAACAGTAACTCCCTAAACCCCCAGCCCTTGGCAACCGCCATTCTACTTTCTGTCTCTATGAACTTGACTGCTCTGCGTACTTCATATAAGTGGAATCATACAGTATTTGTCTTTTTGTTCCTGGCTTATTTCACTTAGCATAATGTCCTTCCTCACTGTTCATCTGTGTTGTAGCATGTCTCAGAATTTCCTTCCTTTTGAAGGTTAAATAATATTCCATTATATGTATATCCACCCTATGTCTATCCATTGATCTCTTGTTAGACATTAGTGTTGCTTCTGCTTTTTGATTATTGTGAATAATGCTACTATGAACACAGGTGTATAAATGTCTCTTTGAGATGCTGCTTTCAATTCTTTGGGGGTATATACCCAGAAATGGAGTTGCTAGATCAATAGGTAATTCTATTTTTAATTTTTTGAGGAACTGCAATACTGTTTTCATAGCGACTGCACCATGGTCCGTTTCCACCAACAGTACATAAGGGTTCCAGTTTCTCCACATTCTTGACAATATTTGCTGTTTGCTGGTTTTTTGATAATAGCCATCCTAATGGGTGTGAGATGTTCTCTAATTGTGGTTTTGACATGGTTTGTTTTGGTTTGATTTTTTACTTACATGGGATTATGTTTGCCAAATATTGAATAAATCTTCACCTAAGCAAAACTTTTGCACCTGTAACACTGCAGGCGTTTTGGCTTCTGTGCCTCCAGAAGGATATAACAGACTTAGAAAAGGCTTAGGAAAGCAACTACAAAAATTGTAATAGAATACTTTTCCTTTTGGAAAAGAATAAAACAATTGTATCTCTTTGTCTGGAAAGACAAAGGCTAAGAAGGATTGTAATCCAAGTTTATGAAACAAGCTGGGAAGGAAAGCTCTTATTAAGTAGGACTGGGGCCCCTCCCTCAACTTTGAGGACAAATAAAGTAAACTAGTCCTTTGTGAAAGGAGTGAAACACATGAGGAATTTACTAATAAAAGTGCTAGAACCTCATATGTGGATAACACTTTATCTTTTTCCAAAGAACATTTATTCCCATTATTGCATTTTATTGTCATCCCACCCAAGTTGGGTGGGTAGGACAGAGATCATTATCCCAGGAGAACATTTGATCCATGGAAAGATTAGGTACTTTAACCAGCGGTCCCTGTACTTCTGGATTTGCTTTTTCCACAACTTGAGAAGTGGTTCAGGTTATGCCTCTCCCTGTAAATAGTTCAGGTTTTTAG